TTTTTACATTTTTATTGTTAGTTTTTCCTGACTTAGTATGTAAACTATGAAGGCAAGAAACTTATTTTTCTTTTCATCACTGTCTCCTAAGGTCCAGAACCACACAGAGGGAGACATTCAGTAAATAGCTATTGAGTAAGTAAAGAAATAAAAACAAAGTCCGGGTATAGCCTTGGAATACATTGGTAAAGTCGATTTGTGAAAAGTTGAAGGCTGTTGAATCGTAAGTAGCTTTGATGCTAAGTTTCTACATGGACTATTCTCATGGGTTTCTAATCTAACCATGATGATGCCAAGTTACCAAACCTTTAAAGCTATTTCACGTCTCAATTCCTTTCCCTCTGACCAGAATAACTTCCTTTTCTTCCCATCTAAATTCTTCCATATTTATATGAAAAGATTCAGCTCGAATGTCACCTCAATAGATTGGAGAAGATTTCCAATCTATTCACTTTGTCTTGTTTTTTTGTTTGTTTGTTTGTTTGTTTTTTGGAGAGGTTTTTGCTACAGGGCACTTACGCTCAACAGAGAGACAGAGGGACAGAAAGCGAGAAATCACCCCCCAGGGGAGATGGCCACACCACAATCCCTTCTCCTCTTGGGATCATGGGCCACGCACGCGCACACGCCTGGTGTGAGTTTAAGCCACTGGGTCTGGGACTTGAACCTTGGTCGACTACATGGGAGTCCAGTGACATACCATTACACTAACTTCTGGTCCCCTATTCACTTTGTTTTTATTTTGCATTCATTTTTATCTCCTCCTCCCCATGTATGATCTCTCTCAGCACACCAGTCAGAATGTATAGGGACTGTTCTCCACAAGACTGTTAGCTCATTAAAAACAAGATCATGTTGAATTCCTTATAGCAGGGACTTAATAAATATCTGATAAATGACATATATATACAATTTTAAATAATGTTATCTGTGGGGCCAGCAGGTGGTGCAGTGGTTAAGGTACTGGACTCCCACATGGCCAACTGCGATTCGAGTCCCAGACCTGGTGACTTGTTTTATCGCTTTCCCTTTTTCTCAATGTGTGTCTTTCTCTGGATAAATTAAAAAATAATAACAAATAAAATAAAATAAGTAATTATTTTTAAAATAGTGTTATCTGTTTAGAATACCCTAAAGACAGAATCTATTTTTAATTTGAGCTTTAAAAAGTTCCATGACCCACATACTGTCATGTAAGCCTCTTAGATCACTGTAGTATTTCTGAAGGTGTTATCACTTTTAAAAAATCTCAAAAATGTGCTATACTTTAATTGGGCTTGTCTAAATATTTTGTATGATAGGTTAATTGAGAAGACAGCATTACTGAATACCTACAATATTATTGCTATTATTACACGTAAATTGATTAAAATATGGTATTAAGTGCCCTCTAGTGACAAAGTTCTTAATAAGCCCATGAAAAAGGAAAATCCAAACCATCTTGTATTGCTACAATACTATTATCACCAGAGGGCATGCACACTTGCCAGAGAGGGACAAAGAGACAAACCCAGAAAAAGGGAAACGGAGAAAGCACCCCTCAATGGGTCACACCGCAGTCCCTTCTCCATTTCTCCTTCCTGAGGCATGCATGCACATGTGCCCACTTGGATGTTTTTCAAGTTGTGGGGACTGGGATTTGAACTATGGTCAGCCATGTGGGATCAGATTCCCTTAACCACTAGGCTACAGGGCCAACTCTTTTCTTTTCTTTTCTCTTTTTTCTTCTTTTCTCTTCCCTCAATTTATTAATTTATTCCTCAAGTGTAAGAGAGAGAGACAGAGAAAGAGATTCGGCACTACTGAGAGGGTCTCAACACTGCCATTCACTCCTAGCCTCCACAGCCCAGGTCATACACACAAGGTGCCAGCATGCTCGGAGAGGTCTCAGGACATCCTTGGCAACCTTCCCACGTGTGTCTGCCTCTGCAGAACTTGGTGTTCTACTGCTACACGTTCTGTGCCATCTTCTAAGGTGAGAAGGCTTGATTCTTAAATTAACAAAGTACTAAATGCTTATTATTTTGAGTATCTCACATCTTAAACATAACTCAGGTGCTGTAGTCTAAATATTCCTGCATTATTATATCTGCCTTGCAATTATATTTGCTTGCAAAGTCATTTTAAAGATATGATGAATGTGATCATTATAATAAAATATAACAACCTAAAATTATAACAGTAAGTAGTTTCCCTAAATCAGGGGGAGATGAAGAAGAAAGAAAGAAAAAGTTGTAAAAATACAACCAAAACTGATACATAGAAAGTTTGCCTACTTATCCTTACAGGAAGTCCCTAACTTACACATCTATGAGGGGTCTTGAAAAAGTTTACAGAAAATGCATATTATGAAAAAACTGCATAAATTTAAAATATATTTATTTTTTAGAGGTTTTTGCTATAAGGCATGTGTGCTTGCCAGAGAGTGAGCTGAGACAGTAAGAGGGAAAGTGCGAAATCACCCCCCAAGGGGATGGCCACTCAGCAATCTTTTCTTCTCCCTTCTCCTGGGGTCTTGGGCAAACATGTTCACGTATCCAGCATGAATTTCAAGGCATCAGGTCTGGGACTCAAACCATGGTCAGCCACGTGGGAGTCCAGCAACTTAACCACTATGCCATCTACTGGCCCTGATTTCAAAAATGTTTGCATCAGGGACTGGACAGTGGTGCGGTGGGTAAAACACAACACTCTGTGAGTCTGACCCATGTGGGGATGTTCAGGGTGTGTGTGCAGAGGCCTTCCTGGATATGCCAGTCACACACATGGAAAGAGAAGTTATCCAATATTTTGATCAGATTAAGACCAGGTATTTTTATATACTCTTTTGATCTGAATAACTTTGAGGGCCCAGAATGAGGCATAGTTAAAGCCTGGACTCCCACATGGCTGCCCTTGGTTCAAGTCCTGGACCTAGTGATTTGAAACTCATGCCAGATGCATGTGCATTTGACTTGAAACTCACACCAGATGCATGTGCATTTGTGCCCGAAATCCTGAGAGGAAAATGGAAGAGAAGGGATTGTAGCGTGGTCATCCCCCACGGGGGTGATTTCTCACATTCTGTCTGTCTCTCTGGTGAGCACACAGACCCTCTAGAAAAATATCCCTCAAAAATAACAATAATAATAATAATAATTTTTATATCTTTTTACTTGTTCATGAATTTAAAATGATAAATCCTGCCAAATTTTAAATTTCTTTTTGGTTTTTACTGCATGTTAAATAAGGTTAAGGGCTTATATAGTCCTTTAGTCCCTTTTACAAATCAGTTTGTCACACCCACTCACATCTTCGCTATAGCAAGTCTTATGGTCATGCCTAATTTCAGTAGGGAGAAGAGTACAATACTTCCATCTATCCAGGAAAGGGAAAAGGACCAGAAATCGTGTTAAACCTATCATACTACCTAAGAGTTAAAATGAAGCTTTTATTTTACAAACTATTTTATTGCTCAAAGAATATTTTAACTAAAATGACAAACTTTTAAAGAATAAGTCACTCATTTCCCATCTTTCTAAAACATCTGCTAGGTACAGATTTCTGAGTTCTCCTCCTCTTATGCCTTCTACATTTTTATATGGTTGTAACTGTACTCTAAATACTAATTTTTGTGATTAGTATTATGTCATATAATTCTCTATCTTTCCACAGGGCTTTATAATTTTCAATAGTAGAGTAATATTTAAAAATGTTCAATTATGTATGTTCTTAGACTAGCTAATAATTCCTATTCTGACTTCAAATTTACATTCAGTCTAATCCTTAACCTTTTCCTGTGTTTAAAGAAAATAAATTGGGGCCATCAGGTGGTATGGAGGTTAAGATGCTGGATGCCCACATGGTCAATTGCAGTCCAAGTCTTGGACCTGGTAGCTTGCTTTCTCACTTTCTTTCGCTCTCTCTCTCTCTCTCCTCCTCTCTCTCTGTTGAGTACATTTGCTCTAGAGCAAATTAATAATAATAATAATAATATAAAATTTAAAAATTATTTTAAAACAAATAAAAGAAATCAATATATTCTATGTCTTCGGAACCTGTTGGAACACCTAGTATTTCTGATCCCTCCCAAAATGCAAACGAGCTATGACTAAATAAGCTTAGCTCTGAGGAACTATTACCAAATTCTCAAGAGGTAGTTTTTCTAACATAAGTAGCTTGAAAATGTTCACAATAGAAAAATGTGTAGAAATCAACTAAATGAATAATTATTAATTTCTCAATATGTTTTATCTAAAGATGTCAAGTTTTCAGAGGACAGTATCTTAAGAAAATCTCTTTTTCCTTTATAAAATTCTTTCTTACAAATCCAAAAGCTGAGAAAGTAACAGAGTAATGTAAGATAATCCTTCAGTTTATGAAAGTATTGACTGCAAGTTTCCATTTAATGGTGAATTCCCTTGAATGAGTTTGAAATACATAATAAATATGCAAAAATTAAATAGCTTCATAGCTATTCAGGAGTGTACCTAATATAAAAATGAGCAATTCCTGTCCTGAACTTCAGGATGTTGAAGCAACTGGCTCGATTATGAATGGAGACTATTAAAGAAAAAAAGGTAGGAGAACGATACACCTTAAAAACAGAGGTACTGGTTTAAAAATAAAAGTTGCTTTCAGATGATTTCTAGTTATTTAGGAAAAGTCTTGAGAATGCTTTCGGGAATCTAATAACACTTGTTGCATAAAGGAGGGGGATGTATATATTTAGACATGTCCTGGGCTGGCTCCATGACCCAGTGGTTAAGGGAACAGAATTCTACACGGCTCACTATTCCTTTCTAATCCTAGCCCCTGCAGCTTGAAAAACACACCAGGTTTGTGTGCAGGTGCATGCCCAAAATCCCAAAGGAGAGAGAAATGGAGAAGAAGGGGTGTGGTGCAACCATTCCCAGTTGGGGGTGCTTTCTCCCTCTCTCTCTCTCTTTCTGTCTTGTCTGTCTCTGGTGTGCACATGAACACTCTGGCAAATCCATAAAGATAAAAATAATGTGTCCTACCATTTTTACTTCAGTATCATCTTGTTCTTCAGCTTTTACTTCTTCCTCTGGAATTAAGTTAGACCCATCTTCCTGTGGTTTAGTCTCCTCTTGCTTCTCTTTGCTGATTGTTTCTTCCACATTTTTTACTTCAGCTTGGACAAGCTCAGTGATTGTGGAAATTTGTTCTTTCGGTGGTGCTAGAATAGGCTTCAGTGGGGTGACGTGATCGTAGTGAGTATGCAGGAGTCGTAGCGCAATGTCACTCGTCGCTAATATCCTTGGAATTTCAAACCCAATGTCCGTTTCTGAGAATCTGATACTTTTGTATCTGTTCATAATTTTAACAAAAAAATGGGTGAGCCCCTAGAAAACCCTAGGTCTCTTGCAAATGTATACCTAAGCCCAATTTCTCTCCAGTGTTGCTCCCGTTTTAATCTCAGTCATACCTACTTTCTGTGCAGCATTTCGGCCCAGCTATCCCTACTATCCTCAAACACTCTCCTGGGATCGGCAGCCCACCTCTCCTCCTCCATCTCTCTGGTGGCTCTTCCTGTTCCCTCTGTACCTTCTTTTTTTCTTTTCTTGTCTTTTTTTTAGAGAGAGATTTTTGCTATAGAGCATGTGTGCTTGCCAGAGAGACAAAGAGAGGCAGAGAGGCAGACAGCAAGAAATCACCCTCCAGCGGGTAGGTAACACCGTAATCCCTTCTCCAGTCTCCTCTTGGGATTTTGGGCATGCATGCACATGCATCTGGCTTAAGTTTTCTGCCACCAGGTCCAGGACTCAAACCATAGTCAACAACATGGAAATCCAGCGACTTAACCATTACACCAGCTACTGGTCCCCATCTTTCTAACCATCCCTTAAATGCTGCTATTTACTCCATGCTCCATCCTAGGCCCTCTTCTCTTCTCCTCTACACATGCTCCAAATCATTATTTCTGTGGCCTCAGTTACTATTGATATTACCAGGGGTTTTTAACATGAGTTTTATGTTTCCTGGGGTGGGGTGGGGGGAGAGGCATCCCCCACCCCTTTTAAATGGACTTTAAGTGGTCCACAAATGACCTTATGTGTGAGCTTACATAATTATTTGATGTTTAAAATAATCTATGACTCTCAAAAAGCTAGGAAATAGTCTAAATGCTGACAACTCACCAAAATATCCTCCACCTCAGATTTCTCTCAATGCCTTCAGCCAGTTGTACTTTGATACCTCATCAGCACTTCAAACACAAGTCCAGCTCTGAACTCGTCACCGCACAACTCCCACACCAGCAATATAAAGTAAACCGTGCTCAGCCTCCACTATTCCTCTACTTTGAAAGATACTACCTAATGCTCTTCTTAAACCTGGGTAGTAGGTACAGAGCTATTCTTTATTATGATTATGTAGGTTAGTTGCCTTCACTCTTCTTTATATAACGTATAATATTTTACAATACAAAAGGTTAATAGAAGGACCAGCAGATGGTGTAATGGTTACATCACTTGACTCCCATATCAGCGGTTGGAGTCCCTGGTGGCTTAAAACTCACATCAGGTGCATGTGCCTGCATGCCCAAAATCTTGACAGGAGAGAAGGGATTGAGGCATGGGCATCCCTCCTTGGGGGTTGATTTCTCGCTTTCTGTCTCTCTGTCTCTCTGGTGAGTACATGCACCCAATAGCAAAACTCTCTCTCTCAAAAAAAAAGTTAATAGATCGCCTCTAATTAGATTGAAGCCACAGAATATTTTAAAGCAAATATAATGGGAAATATTTTGTTCTTTCCTTCTACTAAATAGCAAAAATAAAATCCAATTTCTTTCAATGTCATATGACTAGTCTTTCAAGGTGGGACCAGAACTTAGTCTCCTAACTTGTATTCTAGTACTTTTTCTCTAAAACTCATTGTCATATTAACACAATTAATTTAGAGTATTTAAGATCAAGCTGCAACCAAGTGATTATGAATTTGTTGTTATCACTTTCATTCTTCAAAAAGCTGGTTTCTTTGTAGAAAACAATTGGGTAATCATCATTTAAATGTCTAAAAAATAACAAATATAAAATATTTATTATTTTAAAATATCTTTTAGAATTGTTTAAAATATTATTTTATCTAGTAGTTATATAGTAGTAAATACACAATTCAAAGGTACCCTCAAGAATTTAAAAATAATGGGACTAGCAGTTGGTGTAATGGTTATGTTGCTGGACTCCCATGTAGTCGACTGTGGTTCGAGTCCCAGACCCAGTGGCTTAAACTCACAAGGGGCGCGTGTGTGTGCGTGCACAAGACCCCAAGAGGAGAATGGAGGAGAAGGGATTGTGGTGTGGCCATCTCCTGGGGGGGTGTGGGGTGATTTCTCACATTCTGTCTCTCTGTCTCTCTCTGTCTTTCTGGCAAGCACATGTGCCCTATAACAAAAAAATAATAATAATAAAATAAAAAATAAAAAAACCTCTCAAAAAAAAAAAGAATTTAAAAATAAAGACAACATATAATAGCTTGATGCTCATTGCTCAAGAAATTAGTTTTTGTAAAAATATTATTTTTAACAGTTCACAAAGACTTTATATAATATATATATATATATACATACATATATATATATATACACACATGCACATATATATTTAAAGTTCCATTTTGTCATAGGGAAAGCACCTATCACTTCTTTTATTTTGGGGGAGTAAGGGGGAGAAGAGTGGATAAAGAGAAGGGAAAGCCCTAATGTGTGTTGGGCATTTGTTCTCGATAGCATGCTATGACTTTGACACACATCAATGTTCAAATCTCAGTGCAATCCTATTCAGCTCAGTAATATAATCACCATTTCCTGAGAGTATCCTGAAGCTCAATGAGGTTGAATAACTTGCCTGTGGTAAATGGCAGGCTGTGATTCAAGCCCCAGTGGGCTGGATTCTTGTTATGGGTTTCCAGGTACACCATGCTGTTATGTAGCAGGCATCTGCCTGGCCACCCTGATACGACTCTAAGGCCTTTCTACCCACAGGGAAAGGATCATCCATGGAGTACCTTGGGTTCTTCTTGAGATTTGCCCACACATATAGGGTAACATTTTCATCTTGAATGACTTTTTCCATATTTCCACTGTCCAGATCTGCTAAAGTGCTAGCTTGCTGTGAGAGAAAGAAAAAACATTATAATGGGACAGGCCTAATAAATTATCCAACTTAGATAGGTCATTTCATCACTTCTGTGTTGGATACCCTGCATTAATTACCCAAAAGAGTAAGTTGGGTAAAAATAAGGTTCAATTGGGCCAACAAGTGGTGTGGAGATTAAGGTGCTAGAAACCACATGGCTGCCTTCATGGTTCAAGTCCTGGACCAAGTGACTTGAAATATCATGCTAGAGAACCAGCAGTTAGCGTAATGGCTATGTCGCTGGACTCCCACGTAGTCGACCGTGGTTCGTGTCCCGGACCCGGTGGCTTAAAACTCACGCCGGGCGCATGTGCGTGCGTGCCCAAGATCCCAAGAGGAGAATGGAGGAGAAGGGATTGCGGCGTGACCATCCCCCCTGGGGGGTGATTTCTCGCTTTCTGTCTCTATGTCTCTCTCTGTCTGTCTGGCGAGCGCACGCGCCCTACAGTGAAAATCTCTCCAAAAAAAAAAAAAAAAGAAAGAAATATCATGCTAAACATGTGTCTGTGCATGCCCAAAATCCTGAGAGGAGACTGGATAAGAGACTGCAGAGCGGCCATCTCTCCCTCTCTCTCTCCCGCTCTCTCTCTCCTCCTCTATCTCTGGCAAGTACACGCACCATAAAACAAACAAACAAAAAACAATCAAAATGACAAAGATTTGTTTTTTAAAAAATCTCTAAAAGATACAAATGTATTTACTGAATTAAATGTGGTCCTTTTTCTACTAAGTTTCTCTGAAGGTGTCTCAGGATTAAACTTGCTCCTATATTCCCAGGTGGTACCTGTGGAGTACTATGTTACCCTTTTATAATTTAAAATCCGTATCATGATTTTTCATTTTATTTATATACATACTTCTTTACCTGTACCTTACTGAAATGTAGACTGTGCTATTATAAAAGTTAGCCTATTTCAGGACATATTGTTTGGAAAACAAAATGTCCAGTTTATAAAATCTAGATGAGTCATATTTTACTAGTCTAATACTTGATATCCACATTAAATATACAATCTAAGGTGTGTTTAAGAATTTTAAAATAAAGACTAACATATTTTGATGACTGTTGCTCAAGAAATCAGCTCTCATAAGAGGTTAAAATAAGTCAATATGTGTTTAGTTGCTATAATGTTAAAAAAAAGTAGTAGGAGTGTATTTATTGCTAATTTGTTTTTTTTTTAAAGTGTTTGCTACAGGCTACATGTACTCACTGGAGAGACAGAGAGAGACAGAGAGACAGAGAGACAGAAAGCAAGAACTCATCCCCCAGGGGGGATGGCCATTCTGCAATCCCTTCTCTATTCTCTCAGGATTTTAGGTATGCACATACACATGCACCCAGCATGAGTTTTAAGACACCATGTCTGGGACTCAAACTGCGGTCCACTATATGGGAGTCCAGCGACATAACCATTACGCCATCTCCTGATCCCATTATTGTTAATTTAAAAAAACTGGTCATTTCCCTCAACTTCTCGTTTTGTGTGATGTGAACTTTATGAAGAATCCAGGAATAATTGTCTTAAAAGAACTGTTCTACATTGTAATTTTATGTCGCTGTTTTTTCATAGGGTTGTTGAACTTGCTCCTTTATCTCCTTTATTTCTTGTGCACTGAAAAGTTTAGGAGTTTAATTAGATACAGATCAACCATTTTCAGCAAGAGTTATCATAACTTATGCTGCATTCATACTACATCCTATCAGGAAGTATACACTGTCCCACTAATGACACAGATTTGTTCACTTGGTGTTGACCACGGTGTTGGCCATCATATCCCTCACTGCATGGTACATTTTTCCCAGTTAGTAATCTGAGGGCAAATACTTTGGCAGTATGATAATGGAATATTCCTCACCTAGTCATTTAATAGCCACAGAGGATCTTTATCTGAGTCAATGTTCACACTGAGAATTGAAAAATAGTAATTTCACAGTAATCATTCCTTCCACACGAATTAGATGACATTATTCTGTAAAGACTTGTTCTTCTCCCACCCTACTTTCCCTCTTCCATCTTTTTTAGGCAGGGCCTCAGTTTCATGAGCCCCTCGTCTCAGCCTCCCAAGTTGCTGGGATTAGAGGTACATGACACTGGCTCCCAGCCTTTAGGCTGAACTGGAAATTGAACTCAAGTTTCTCATGTGGCTTTAACAGTGTGTGCCACCACACCTGGACCTCCCTCTTCCTTTTTGGAGTGTCACTACAGACTCATGAATTTTCATTTATTCAGTGTCTTATAATTAATTATAGTCATCACTCTTTCTAATATTCAAATCATTCCAAAGTTAGCCTGAGGGCTTCTTTCAGCTAGTCCCTGTCCCTTTGATATCATCCCATTAGTCTCTGGGCATTTACTTGACTTTTAGCCTAGTAAAATAACCCAGCCCCATGTTTCACTTGTCCTGCCCCAGACCTAGAATCAGCCATTTCTCCCAATTAGTCCTGGCTCCTTTCTATGAAATAAAAAGAAATCTGGGTTCAAAGGATATTTCCTACCAAATTTAACACTACAGTATTTTTTCTATTTTTTTTAAATTGCATCTCTTTTCTCTTGAAAATCTAGATAGCTGATAATCATAATACATTTCTGTACTTGTTTTCTTTTTTTTTTTTAGGTTTTCACCACAGCGCATGTGCACTTGCTGAGAGAGACAAGAGAGACACAGAGAGAGGAAAAGTAAAAAATCACACACACACACACACACACCCTCCGTAAATGGCTACGTCACAGTCCCTTCTCCTCCATTCTCTCTCAGGATTTCTGGCAAGCCACCAGGTCCGGCGGCGGTCAGCTATGTGGGAGTCCAGTGCCTTAACCACTGCACCACTGCTGGCCCCACATATCTATACTTCTTTTGTCCTATAATTAAGATAAAATAGTTGCAAAATCATAATATGAATATTACTGCTAATAATAAACTTAGTGAAGGTTAAGCATCCTTTGCAGTATTTTTTGTAATGTGAACATATTCTATTTATGCCATACAAAGGACTATGTTCTAGACAAAAAGAAACCAGGAGACAAAACACTCTAAAGCAATGTGTAGAGTCAAATTAGAGTCACCTTGAATCCCCAAAGAAGTGTGAAAACTATCCTTGATAGTCTTTAAGAGATAAGCTAGTTTACACTGAAGAAAGACTCCAGTAGGGTTCCTAGAGCTCGTTCTTGGCAGAAGTGGGGTGCCAACCATATAAAACTTAAATCTTATCTGTTAACTGGAGAAACTTTCATATTTTGTAGCTAGTCAGTACTCCCAGGTTTCAGGTGGGTAGAAGCCACTCTTCAAAAGACAGATGATAACATTCAAGTTCAACAAAAACACTTAATGGAATATCATGCAGATTTAGATCCCCTTTTTCGCTCAAGTTAGGGGCTTACCAGAACTGAATATTGTGCCCATCTAAGGAAAGCTTTTTAATCCTCATAATTCTTCTAGTAGGTCTCCAGGGTATAATGACTTGTGTCATCAGGTTAACAACAAGATAAATACTTTTAAAAATCAAGTCGTTTCATAGAGAACCATGGTCCTTAATCATCATGATACCCTGAATAAGGACCATGATCAACTAGACTCAAATACTGTTGGATTGCCCATATTGCCTGAATCTTGACCTGTTTAATTTGGTTCAGTTTGTTTCCTTGTTAAGGACTACAGTGTGATCTTTGGATGCTATCCTCTCGATAGTCACCATACTAGTCCCCCTGATGTGCTGTGTCCTCTCAAGTCTTAAATGTTTTGCACACAGCCGTCCATTGAACACTGAATGGTCTTGCTTCAATCAGATCAGAAATAATGTAAGAAAAGAACTAGTGTGATGTGGAGACATGTGGATTCCATGCTGACACGAGAGGAAGCTTATGAATTCTATGCTGGGACCAAATACATCATTTATGATGGTGACAGAGAGTGGCATCAATGCCCTAGGTTTCAGTCAATCTGTCAAGATTGAGAAACTGACCACTGAAGACCTGCTGCCCAGACTTCACCCTCCTGTCCCCTGATCTAGCCAGGAGCCAGAACAAGCCAATCAGCAGCCATTTATATCTGAGTTCTAAGTGGTCCCATTCAGGGACTAGGACCACCGAAGATATTCTGCCTAGACTTCACCCTCCTGCCCCCGCCCCAGATCTAGCCAGGAGCCAGGATAGAGCACCCTATTTATTCTCTGTCTCTCCCACCATTCTCTATATATTTTAAATTTTATTTTTTAATTTTTAAACTTCTTAGTTCTCTGCTACTCTTTTGCCTTGCCAATTCTTACCTTTCCCCCTGCCCCCATAGGATAAGCCGGTCAGCAGCCATCTATGTCTGAATTTGGCTTTTAATTTTTTGCTTACATTTTTTTTCTTTTTAAAATTGTTTTTGTATTGTTTTTCCCCTCTTTTTCGTTTTCTTTTTCTCTTTCTCATTTTTCTACTCAGTATCCACACACTGATTTTCTAGGCAGGTCTAGGAATTCAGTAGCCAAATATCTGAATGCTTTTAGGGTCAGATTAATCCTCAATTTCCATCAAATCTGCTACACAACGGGAGAAAAATGGTACTGTTTAGAGGTTGCAGGTCACCTCCTCCTGCATGTGTCTGAATGCTCAGTTTTAACTCCAAAAACTAGAAAAAATGTGTAATCCATCAGATGACCAGAAACCACTCAGAGGCACAAGAAATATGAAAAACCAATAAAATATCTCTTCTCTAAGGAAAAAGAATGACTCCTCTTCCTCCACTGACAATACAAGAGAACTCGTGGAAATGTCAAATAAATAATTTAAAATATTCATAGTGACAAAGCTAACAGAGATGCAAGAGAAGAGAGACAACAAACTCCAGAAAATGTAGGAGAAAAGAGACAACAAGTTCCAGGAGGAGAGGAAGTTCTTGCGTGATCTGAAAGAAGAGATACACATCTTTAAAAAGAATCAAATAAAATTGTTAGAGATACTATACCAAGAATACTATACCCAGCAAGATTA